TAAAGCACAAATCTGATTGTGACTTGCCCTGCTTAGAATCCTCCATGGTCCCCCAAGGACTTTTTCCCTAAGACAAAGTCAACACTCCTCAGCAGGACATTCAAAGATTTTGCTGAGAACCTAAGGGACCTCTCTGGATCCATTTCCAAAAATCTCCCCTGGTGGATCCTCTGGTCTAAACACTTGCTCTTGTTACCTCTTGCCGGACACAACACATAGTTCATGCCTTCTGCTCTTCGCTCTTGCAGGTTCTTCTCCCTGAGAGGCCTTTCACAGCTCAGGCTGTGGGCAGGGTCAGTGTTCACTGAACAACCATGACCTGGTATCACAACATGACCAAGGACCAGGGTCAGAGCTGGGGATGAAGCAAGGCTTACAGTTCAGATAGTCAATTTTGCATTTTCTCATAATATTTACTGACCTGTTGTCAGTGGTTATTTTGAGGTTTCTGAACCCTGGCCCATTGAGGCACCAGATAGAATCCACGATCTGGGCTTATAAGATCCTGTGTCAGATCTGAGCATCCTAGTCCCTAAGGGCCACCCCCAAAGTTCCGGGATCCTTCTTTGTCCAACTATCCCAGTGCCTCCGATCCCCTTCCCCACCTCATGACTGCATTTGGTTTATCAGACGACGAGTAGGCAAAGGAAAACTTATTTGAGCAATACATGTCCTCATTGAGTCTTCAAAACAATCCCGTGAGATGAGTACTATTATCACCTTCGATTTATAGATAAAGAAACAGAGGCGCAGAGAGGTCAAGACATTTGCTCAAGTTCAAACAGCTGGGAAGTAACTGGTCCAGAATTCACATTCAGACCAGTTATTCCAGATCTCCTCCCCTCTGCAAGGCCCCCGTACACTCTACTCTCATTTTACAGTTGAGAAACTGAGGCACAGTGAGGGGGAAAGACTTGATCAGGACCACACAGCAAATTTAGGATTCAAACACGGTCTCCCTCTTTAGAAGGCACAGAGAAGGATGGGGGATGTTCGGGGCCAACCAGGTGGAGGCACTTGTCTTGACGGGAAGAGTGCATGGAGTGGGGGAGGTACTGGAACACAGTTCCAGAAGAATTCCTTAGGAGATTAAGGGCGCAGGCCCACTGTGTCCAATCTGTGCCACCTACTTACTGGCGACCTCGGACAAATGGCTCAGCATCTGGGAGCAGCGGGTTCTTCATCTGTGAAATGGGGTTAAGTTACACAATACCCCAGTCAAACTCTAGGTGGCGCTCACTCACGGCAGGCTCTTTCATGAGAACGTTCTTGTTACGGCTGCTGTTGGTGGAATATAATAATGGTCTCAGTGAGAGGAAGTCTTGTTGCTTAAGGGTTTTAGAGTCAGGCTGACCTGGGATCAAATCCATCTCGGCCACATTTTGACCCTGACCGGAGACCCTCTTTCTCTGAGCTGTTCCCCACCTAGAGAATGGGGATATCCGACTTGGGACACACGCGGAGGGTTAAATAAAGTCACGAATGTAAATTGCTCAGTGTAATGCTTGGACTTAGAAGGGTTCTGTAAATGTTAACTCTCATCATTGTGATTCTATGAGCCTGTTAGCATAGGTAGGGAGTGCTGGGGTGGGCCAGAGCCACGTGGGGAGATCGTCAGGGTAGCGGTTATTTACCAACCAGCCTGGGAATTCTTCGGTATTTAGCAACATTATATTTAGCAATATTACGGCCTTGGCCTCAGGATCCTAAAACACCACAGTTCAATAATTTAAGGACACCATAGCTCTACGTGTGAGTGTAGCAATCGCAGGTGAGGGCATGGACTTAAAATTCAGACAGACCTACCTTCAATTCTGTCCCTGCTCACTCGTTCCCCTCTGGGAGTCCCAGTGTTGCCACGTGTGAAGTGAGATAATGCCTGACACGTCTGAGCACAAGATTAGCCCAAAGTAAATGATCGATAAATGGAAATTGTTACTGGGTTATTTGGGAGGCAAGACTATCCTGTGGTTAAGGGCCTGAGCTCTGGGGTCAGACAGACCCTGTCTGAGACTCACCGTTCCTGGAACACATCAGACTTACTACTGCCTCAGGGTGTTTGCACTCTCTGCTCCTTCTGCTTGGAATGATTTTCCCTGACATATCCAATGGCTCCCATCCCCACCACCTCTAGGTCTTTACTCAAACGATCACCATCCCAGGGAGGCCTCCCCTCACCTCTCTGTTTAAAACACAACGCTTCCTGTCCCCCGTCCACGCTTTTTGTCACTCATCGCTGTCTGTGATAACATATATTTTGTTTATTTGTTGATTATTTTTCCCCAAACAATGCTCGAGAGCAGGGATGTGTGTCAATGCTATCCACAGCTACAGTGCCAGGTATGTAGCGGGCACTGAGCACCTATCTGTAGAGTGAAGGAATGAATGGATAGAACTAAGTGGGCCCTCATGGCACCGACTCCACGGGCTTGTGGGAAGGCATAGATAAGATATGATCCACGGAGGGATCTTGATCCAGGGAGTACTCGATAAATACACGTTGTGACTATTATTAGTATAGAATTCTAAATTGTCCCAACTCTATGACTGGACAGACGGCATAGTGTTGTGAAGCAGGACATTGCAAATCCTGGCTTTTCCCATTAACTGGCTGGTAACATCTGTGCCTCAGTATCCTCATCTGTGAAATGAGAAAATACCTCTTAAAGTTGTGGGAGGATTAACTGAGTTAAGAATTGCAAAATGTTTACAATATTGCCTGGCACAGAGTAAGGAGTTAATAAAGGCCAGCGATTTTTGTTGTTTGAAGAGTGCACAATGCTAATATTCAACCTACTTAAGAAATTATTTACTCTTTGAAGCTGGGAAACCCATTTTTTTTTTCCTGGAGATAACCAGCCTGTAAAATCAAAGTGCACTAAAACTAGAGAGCGTATCATTTATTTTCCACACTGGGATTGTTTTGAGAGTTAAACAGGTGCAGTGACTTAAAGCCTTTAATCCCAGCACTCTGGGAGGCCGATGGGGGAGGATCACTTGAGTCCAGGAGTTCAAGGTTGCAGTGAGCCACTGCACTTCAGCCTGGGCAACAGAGCGAGACCCTGTCTCTATTAAAAAAATAAAATTTAAAGAGGTGTAGGCCAGGCTTGGTGGCTCATGCCTGTAATCCTAGCGCTCTGGGAGGCCGAGGTGGGAGGATTGCTTGAGGTTAGGAGTTGGAGACTAGCCTGAGCAAGAACAAGACCTCGTCTCTACTAACAACAGAAAATAAAATTAGCTGGGAGTGGTGGTACATGCCTGTAGTCCCAGCTACTTGGGAGGCTGAGGCAGGAGGATCGCTTGAGCCCAGGAGTTTGAGGTTGCTGTGAGCTAGGCTGAT